GCTTTAATGTAATTGCATGCACCTAATGCGTACTGACCTTGAAAGCAACCAGTCAGGGGGAAAAGAAAAATCTTGACTATTTATTTTCTACTTACAAAATTGTTTTCTTTGTTAACAAATGTATCTGCTAAAATGTTGATAGACTTTAATACCAAAGGGCTCAAATTTACCCCTCCCAATGTAGTCACCAAGCAAAGAAGTGGTCAGATTGTTGCTAAGCAACAGAAGAATGATAATGAACAATGACACACGCTTACCTTTTGAAACATTTTGTTATTAAATGAAAATCTGTTTTAAAATACTCCTCAAATTATATTTTGTTGTATAAAGTAAACCGGTGTTCTTGTAGATTGTAATGTTGACTTTGTTACAATCGCTCCTATGTTTTTGGCAGTCCGTGTCATTTTTAGTAAAGTAGATTTCCACAATAGTTTTCATGTGTTTGACTGCCTTTGTTCCAATTATCAACCATAACATCGCACAATTTTCTCTTGGGGGAGAAACAGGCTCATTTTAAAAAGAAACATGATTATCTCATTTTCGGTAGCATTGATAAGTGTGTGGCAGAACATGCCTGGAATGCTTTTGCTGTTAAATTGGAGATGAGATGAAGTTACCTGGTTCCATGATGATTGAGTCTCAGCACATCCTAAAATGATTTGAAAGCTGGTTATTGGAAGTTCGTAATGATTTGGCAGCTATTTACAAATCTTCAATGAAAGATGTTATTGCGCTGCCTATCACGTTTTGTGTTTTTAAAAAAAAATGTTTTCCATTGTCTTTTGCAAAGCTTTATGCCAATTCAAAAAATGTGTCAGTGCCCAAGTACTAAGACCAAAGAGTTAATGTTGGCTATTTATCTAAACATGTCAGCACTTGTTGTGCATTTCCCACGTGGATAATAGTATAATGGTGTGAAGAGTGTTGATTTTTTTTTTTCTCTTTATGTCAAGGAAAGAATGATGACCAATGCCTATACCTAAAATAATGATATTTTATAAAAAAAAAACCTGAAATAACTGAGATAACACAGTGTGGAGCTGGAGGAACACAGCAGGCCTGGCAACATCAGAGGAGTAGGAAAGTTGACATTTCGGGTCAGGATCCTTCTTCAGGAATGCCCATTCCTGAAGAAGGATCCCGACCCGAAACGTCACTTTCCTGCTCTTCTGATGCTGCCTGGCCTGCTGTGTTCCTCCAGCTCGACACTGTTATCTTTGACTCCAGCATCTGTGGATGCTGGAAATCAGAAACAAAAACAGAAATTGCTGTTCTGGCAGAATTTATGGAGAGAAATCAGATTAATGTTTTGGGTCCAGTGACCATTCTTCGGAACTGATGGTAGCTAGGAAAAGGTTGGGTGGAGAGGAGACCACCTTGTAAGCAGCAAGTACAGTAGACAAAATTCAGTGAAGTGCAGGTAAATCGCTGCTTCACTTAACGGGTTTGGGGCTTTGGATGGTGAGGAGGGAGGAAGTAAATGGGCAGGTGTTTGACTATTTGCAATTGCATGGAAAGGTGCCATGGGGGTGTAGAGGGATGTTGGGAGGGAAGGAGGAGTGGACCAGGGTGTCCCGGAGGGAATGGGCCTTATAGAAGGCTGTCAAGGGAGAGGAGGGGAATACGTGTCCTTTACATTGGAGAAATGAAGCTCAGACTGGGTGACCATTTTGCAGAACACCCACATTCTGTCTGCAAAACGACTGAGCTTCCAAATGCCTGTCATTTTAACACACCACCATGTTCCCTGGCCAACGTATCTGTCTCGGGCTCGCTGCAGTACTCCAGCGAAAGTCAGTGCAAACTGGAAGGACAGCACCTTGGTTTCCCTTTTGGAACTCTGCCGCCTTCTGGACTTAATACGGAGTTCAACAATTTTAGTGCTTCAGCATCTTTTCCCGTGTCCTTACCCCAACACCCACACACCAAGGCTTGTCGTTACATGGGCTGCTACCACACACAACCCGTTATCAGCCACTAATAGCCCCCATTAGCAGCTATTCATTCCCTGGGCTGACCTTTACCCGCTCCATTGTCTGTCCAACTGTTTTTCTGTCTCTTTGGGTTCAATCTCCGATGAAAGTATCTACTCCCAGCATCTCTCTGAATCTGTGTTGCCATGTGTTTCCAGTCCTGTTGGTTGAATTCATCACATGACATTAGCTATTACCCCTGTGCCCATACATTCTGCACCAAAGTTAATTTTTTGCCTGACTTTCATCTATACAGTACCCAATAGTCATAGCTATGATGTTAGCTTGCATTTGTGAGTTGATAGCACTCAACATTATTGCTTCACCAAACCCTTGTTTCCATCTGCTGGGTTATCCAACCACTTAGCTGACAAGTAACGTTAACAAAAGCAAAGTTAACCTGTTAAGCTTTCAGCAAAAACTTCAGACAACAGACCAATTTCACCTCCTTCTTAAATGCCCAATTTGATGGATGCAACCTCTGTGTCCTGGTTTCAAGTACCATCTTTCGGTCTAAAACCATATTATTCTGTCCCTGAAACATTGCCTGTCTCCATTCTTCTTCACCCCCCATTATCAGTGATGTTCTCCTGTTTCAGATGAACTCCTCATCTGTCCAATCTCTACTCCACCAAAGACTTGCCATCCATTTATTCTATCAAAAATATCCTCAATAACTTTCAATCCTATTTTGGCTGTAATGCGAAGGTATGCTGTGGAAGATAGCAATGGACAAGTCAGGTAGATGCAAAAGTTGTGACTGCAATTTAACCTGGAGAACTGCACAGTGATCTGTTGAGGAGGTCAAACAAGGTAACAGTATGCATACCTGATGAAAGAATGAGAAATGGTGGAGTGGAAATAGTCATAGAGACGGACAGCACTGAAATAGCCTTCGGTCTAACTCGTCCATGCCGACCAGATATCCTAAATAAATCTAGTTCCGTCTGCCAGCATTTTGCCCATATCCCTCTAAACCCTACCTATTCATATACCCATCCAGATGCCTTTTAAATGTAAAAACCGAAAGAACTGCAGATGCTGTAAATCAGAAACAAAAACAAAGTTTCTGGAAAAGCTCAGCAGGTCTGGCAGCATCAGTTCTGCGGAAGGGTCGCTGGACCCGAAACGTTAACTCTGTTTTCTCCTTCACAGATGCTGCCAGACCTGCTGAGCTTTTCCAGAAACTTTGTTTTTGTGCCTTTTAAATGTAATTGTACCAGCCTTCACTTCCTCTGGCAGCTCATTCCATATAAGCATCAGCGTCTGTGTGAAAATGTTACCCCATGTCCCTTTTAAATCTTTTCCCCCTCATCTTAAACCTCGCCTTTTAGTTTTGGACTGCCACACCTCAGGGAAAAGACCTTGTCTATTTACCCTCTTCATGCTCCCCATGATTTTATAAACCTCTATAAGGTCACGCCTCAGCCTCCGACGCTCCAGGGAAAATAACCCCAGTCTATTCAGCCTCTCCCTACAGCTCAAATCCTCCAACCCTGGCAACATTCTTGTAAATCTTTTCTGAACCCATTCAAGTTTCACAACATCCTTCCTATAGGAGGGAGACCAGAATTGCACACAATATTCCAATAGTGGCTGAAACAATGTCCTGTACAGCCGCAATGTCACCTCCCAACTCCTATACTCAATGCACTGACCAGTAAAGGCAAGCAGACAAAATGTCTTTTTCACTATCCTATCTACCTGTGATTCTGCTTTCAAGGAATTAAGAACCCACACTCCAAGGTCTCTTTGGAGGAACTTGAAGAACCTTGGAATGAATGTCCACAGAATTCTGAAGGTAGGAGGTCAAGGTGAAAAAATGCTTTCCTTTAGTATTTGATGTATGGACGATAATAATGGGGAGGTTATGCTGGAACCATACATTAGTCCATAATTTGAGTACTGAATGCAGTTTTGATTACTTCATTATAGAAAGAATCCAGTAGTTGGGGCTGCGTTGAGTGTAACATACCCTCCAGTCCTGGTTATTTTGTTTATTTATTGTCACATGTATTTTGTTACAAAATACAGTGAAAACTGTAGTATTGTGTTGCCACTCTCTGGCGCCATCTTAAAACACAGAAAAATAAACCAAAACATAGAATATAAAGGCAGAAAAATAAAGTTCAACTTGACAGTCCTTGTTAAGTATTCCGCCATGGGCCTGGAGAGACAAGCCACACATCCCGTTGCTGCATTGCCGGAACAAGAGTCACCACTCTGCGGCGCCATCTTGCTTCCACCGATACTGCCGCCACCATAAGTCCTTGCTGCACCCTGCCAATGCAGCTGCCACCGATGACGCCAGGTCGTCCATCAGCCCAAACTTTTCTTTGCCGCCACCGCCAAGAGCCCAACGTGGGTCCACCTTACTGACGCAGCTGCTACCGATGTTGCCAGGTCTCGTACTGGGACCAAATGGGTTAAACAGGAAAATTGCGATAACAACAGGTGGTTGGAATTTTTGGGAAGGGACCAGCGGGATAAAGACACATGATTGAGTCAGAGAATAGGTACACTGCAGTGAGGCTAGCAGAGATACTTGCCGGAACAAGAGTCACCACTCTGCAGCGCCATCTCTGCGGCTGAGAACGGCGGTGTGTTCAGTGTAAATCACCATACAGTCCTGACAGTGGTGGCGTATTAAGCATAACTTGTCTAGTCCTGAGGGTCAGGCTGAGTTAGTGTAACACACCTCGTGTCCTGAGGGTGGCAATATATTGGGCATAAGTTAATCTTCAGCCCTGAGGGTGGTGGTGTAATGGGTGTAATTCATCCTCCAGTCCTGACAGTGGCAGTGTATTCAGTGTAATTCACCCTCCAGTCCTGACGGTGGC